CTTTTTTTCCCACTCTACTTGTTAGTTCGGAGGCTTACAGTGCATGAGGGAGTGGATGGTGTTGACTATGAAAGGATTTGTGTCAAGCAGTTGAGCATTGGTGACAGTGTTTTATTTTGGTGGCATAGGAAATTATTGGTTAATCTGATAAACTGCCTAGGAGGAAATTATTTAAATAATTTCCCAGGGGCTAGCCAGATGGCTCAGCAGATAAAGCTGCTAGCCTCAGTAGCCTGGCAACCTGAGTTTGACCCTGGAGCCCCTGTATATATAGAGAGAAAGAATTGACTACACAAAGTTTTCCTGTGGCCTCTACACATGCATCATGGCACATGCCCACCCCATCCCATGCTCCCTACAATAATAAGAAATGAATAAAAGAAAAATTAATTCAACATATGTGCAACTGTAGAGTCTATAGGATAAATATTAATGCCCCAGCTCAGAAAAGAAAACAATAAACAACAAACAAAAACACTATCCTTGTAGTAGTTTCCTGCCTCTGAGATGTAGTATATATGGGTGGACTGGCGATCAAGACAGCTGGTGTCAATTTAAGTAAAAATTTACTAACTGACAACTGGTATTTTAAAAGAGAAAATATAAACTAAAATAGCTTTTGTTGAAGTTCAAAGTCAACATTTTGCCCCAAAATGTGTTCTTGGAATTAATGACTATGTTTGGCAAGAAGGATTGTTCTCTGGGGTTGAGAGCATCAGACGGTAAAGACAGGCCTGTCAAGCCTGAGATAGGGATGTGCTCCTCATTGGGAGGGCCCTGGTGTATGTACCAACAGAACATCCTTAAATGCTGTGTTCGTCAACACAAGCCAAGTAGATAATGACCATCCATCCATGGTGGTGTTAGATAAATTAAAGCCCTCACCATTGTCTTTCAAGTCAACAAACATTTATCCATGGCTTGCTCTGAACACAGCCTTGTGCTTCTACTGAAGATGCACAGATGAGAGTGTGCTTTTTTCCACTCAGCAAGGTTGGTGACTCACTGCTCATCAGCACACATAGCAAATTCTACTAATTTCCCTTGGAGATCAAAGAATTTGGAGAAACGTTGGCTGGTCTCCTGCTTCACAATACAGGTCAGGTTATATAACTGCAGCTGAACGAGTGCTCACTACCCATTTTTCAATGGATGATGCTCACTTTTCATAATGACTTCCCTGCCCTCCAAAGCTCTGTTCAAGACAGTGATTTGTTCTGTGTTAGTTATGGCTACAGGAACTTTTCTGTGGGTCCAGCTTCAATGCCATTAGCACAGTGGTGGTTGTCACTGGAGACAAGCATTTTGTCTTTCAGGTACCTCTCATGGAAGGGTGTGGCTACTGGGGAGCCTCGAGGTGGTGGAGTTCCCTGAACATTTTGTCCAGGTAGTAGCTGCTACTTCCTTTTTAACCAGTTAGTTCAAACTCTGTCCGTCTTTAAGACATTAGAAAACTTCTAAACAATGACCTTCTCCCACATCAGGTCAAAACCCACTGCTGGACCCTGGCACATCACCGTGTGCTTTTTCTCTGTCGCTTTGATCTGAGTTGTAACGTTACGCATGTGATTGTTCAGACGCTTTGTTCAGTCACTGCTGACTTGAAACTTAACAATGCAGGACCTTTGATCATCCTCATATGTCCTTTGCCCAGTGCTGGGCCCTGAATGGAGGCATAAATTCCCGCCTGAAGTCTTTATTTCCCTCTTGAGTTAACCCTTTGGAGGGCAGCTTGGAGGAAGTGGCTATGTGGAGGAAAACACACTGGGGAAGCTGAGTTATCTAAAGCTGCACTGGCCAGGCCCTAAGTTTAGGTTTTACTGACATTTCCGAGGAAGTTTCTCCACCGTTCTGATGAAGGACAAGCCTGTGACCTAATATCCATGTCATTTATAATTGTCTATATTAAATCAAGTCTCCCACTCAACATTTGCCTTTCCAAGCCAAAGATGCCGTTTCTATAAGTCTCGAACCTCAGCATCCTGAGCTCCCTCAACCAGCCAAACCCAACACGTTAGTTGGTTTTCCTCTGTTGCTTGTAGCTTTTCAACTTTCGTGATTATTCTTCTTATTTGAGGTCTGATGACCTTGACTTCACGTGGCACCCACAAAGCATCTTCACTGAGCTTTTAGAGCAAACTCATTTCAAGACGTTTTCTTTTCTTTTTTTTTTTTTGTTTTGTTTTTCGAGACAGGGTTTCTCTGTGTAGCTTTGCGCCTGGCCTGGAACTCACAGAGATCCGCCTGGCTCTGCCTCCCGAGTGCTGGGATTAAAGGCGTGCGCCACCACCGCCCGGCTTGACGTTTTCTTTTTTACAGTAACAGAAAATTCAGCAAATATCCTTGGGGACTCACAATGACTTTTGGGATGTGCTTCCCTGCTCTGAGCTGTTATTTTATACCCATGCTGTTTATCATAAGACCTAGTAATATGAGAGTTATAAGCTGAAGTCTTACTTGTACAAAATGGTAAGGTTTCCATGCCTCTAATTTACCTCTTTTGCCCAGCTTCAACTTGAAGCTTTCAGAATGAGGAGAACTGGGACTTTTGGAAGTTTATGAAAATGTTAAATGGAATTGGAATCAGGGTTGATTTTCAAAGAATGTCACTTTAAAGAAACTTATGCATTTGTCACTAAGCTGAGCTAATGTTTCTCTGGGTCTAAGTTTGCTCATGAAGAAAACTGTTCTGTGCTCCATCCTGACCCTGTCTTCATGCTGTTCAAGATTAAGCTGTGGGGGGCACATGGCTCTGGACAGTCTGGTCCCCATGGACCAAGGCTTCTCTTCTGATTACCTGAAGTCCAGGTGTTGTGCACTGCTAAACATTTTAATTATTTAGACAGTCATAAGGAGGACCAGGCTAGCCTCTGCTACATAGTAAGTTTGAGGCAACCTAGACTACATAAGACCCCATCTTACTACAAAACAAAAACCTCCTGTCTGCCCTGCCTTCTCTAATCAACACGATATCAGAATCCCGTATTCCATTTTGGTTTTAACTCATCTGAAACTCTTGAGTTTTAATTCTCTTTGCCAAGTGGGCAACCATACAATAGGTTGAACTGAAGTCTTGGGATGTTGGAGACCCAAGCTTTCTGAGTCTCCAGGTGGTAGGAGCAAAGAGGTCTTCCTCAGAAACCAAGAATGACTCCATCGCTCTGAGAATGGCCTCCCTCTTACTTCTTTTTAAACACTACAGACCAGCGCCAGGGTTCTGAAGGCATAATCCAAATACACCAGAGTTGTCTGAGAAACCTGAGGCTGGGTATTTCATGTAGGCTGCCACATCTGCTGAAGCCTTGCTGACCCTCCAGTAAGAGGGGTCTCTCCTTAGATGCTAACAGAAACTGTGGTTGATATGAGGTCTGGTGATTTGTCAATTCTGACAACAGCAAGTAAGAATGAATCCAGCTTGCATTGACTTCAGTTACTTCCTGAACTTTTGTGTTTTGGTTTATTTGGAGACAAGGTTTCTTTGTGTAGCTTTGGCTGCCCTGGAACTCACTCTAGACCAGGCTGGCCTCAAACTCAGAGATCCACCTGCCTCTGTTTCCCAAGTTCTGGGATTAAAGGCATGCACCACCGCCGCCCGGCTTTTCAGAACTTTTAATTGTTTAGTTTTCGTTAAGCTGGCATTAGACTATTCCTTGGTCTGGATGTCATTCCATAAAAAGTCTAAAGATGAAGCTATTAATGCAGATGGCTTGGCGTTTATGTTATATGGATGTGTTAGTTGTTTCATTAGTCCCTAAGAACGTTTAGACACACAGTCTGAGGGCACCATCCATCATGGAGGGAAGTCATTGCCACAGGAGCATGGGCCAGCAGGCCACATGGCACCAGCTGTCAGGAACTATGAGAGGTGAGCAGGAAGTGGCCTCCTGAGAGACTCCACCTTCTAAGGGTGCTGCCAGCTGGAGACTGCGTGTTCAAAGACTGGGGCCTGCATCACGGGCATTCTCTGGGAGCTTGTCAGAAAACGGAACCTCGTCTGTGGCCCCACCCTGAAGGACCCTGCTGTCATCTGGGCTCAGAAGCTGAGCAGGGCAGAGCTTCTTACTATCAAGATGAGAGAATATAGAATCCTCTGCTTTCCAGGAACCCACTCATTCTAAATTCACACTGCTGTCAAGATGCTTAGTGTAAAAACCCAGGACAAAGGGAGCACATGAATGTGAGCCTCTTACTCACATTCACTGTCGTGTAGGTTGATAGTTGTGATGCTTTGTAAACTGCCTTCACTGTCTTAAGTTTGTTCGTTTGTGCCGGAGATTGAACCCGTTGTCCTATGTAATGTTCAGCTTGCCCCACTGAGCTATGGCCTAGACCCGTTTTCTTCAACTGTATTTCCAGTCTCTGTTTTAATCAGCTCCAAGACTAAGACGCTCCTGGGACTTTGTGTTTCAAGTATTTCCTGTCAGAATATTTCAGTGAAAACACATTAGCATTTCTATTAATATTTCAAATGATACAAAACAAAACAAAATCAGTTGGTTTTGACAAATGTGTTTCAGCATCTCTACCTCTGTCCTCAGAGCATGGCAGAGCTGTACCTAATTACAGAAGATTTTGATACAACAGCAGCTATTTTTATTGTTTTCCAGAACTTTTTTTCTTAACGTTTTAGTTGACATGAACTTGTAACTACTTATAGGAAACATATGTGTCCGTGCAGGTATATATTGTATAGTGTTCAGATTTGGGTAAATCTCTCTTTTAAGACTGGAACCTTGGCCGGGCGGTGGTGGCCATGCCTTTAATCCCAGCACTTGGGAGGCAGAGGCAGGCGGATCTCTGTGAGTTCGAGGCCAGCCTGGGCTACCAAGTGAGTCCCAGGAAAGGTGCAAA